CTATCGCACAAAACAAAATTTCTTGTTTCAACTAATATTACAGTTTATGGCTAGTGAGATCAGCTATTCTGATATTACAGAATAGCTGATTTCAATAAAAATATTTTTAGACCTCCTATGGAATCGAAGTCCTGGTCTGGTTACCAAGTGGGAGTGATATAATCCTAGAACATAGAATCATAGGGCAGGAAGGGAACTTAGAGGTATTATAGTCCAGTCCCTTATCCAAGGTAGGAGACCTCATGCCATTCTGGTCAAATGGTTGTCCAGTCTTTTCTTGAAAACTTCTAGCAATGGAGCACAAGCAACTCTGGGAGGCAAACCATTCCAATGATTAACTGATCTTACTGTGAGGAAATTTCTCCTTAGTTTTAGGTTAGATCTCTTTTTAACAAGCTTCCACTCATTATTTCTTCTCTATCCTTTGGTGTTTTGGATAATATGTTAATTTCCTCTTGTCTGTGACAGTCTCTCAAATACTGGAAGACAGCTATCCTGTCATTCCTAATTCTTCTCTTCAAAAGACTAGACATATCTAGCTCTCTCAACTGTTCATCATATGATTTTGCCTCCAGATTCCTTATCACCTTTGTTGCTCTTCTCTGCACACTTTCTAGGGTCTCAGCATCTTTTTGTATCATGGTGATCGGAACTGGATTTGTATTCCAAGTGTGACCTCACTAGTGTGGTATAAAACAGTATTATCACTTCTTGTGATCTAGAATGCTATTCCTCTGTTGATGCAGACTACGACTGCAGTGGCAGTCCCAAAGGTGCTTTGGCATTTTTGGCAGTTGCAGCACATTGGTGATTCACACATAAGTGGTGGTCCTCCAGAACACATAGATCCCTCTCACAGTTGACTCAACTATTGTGTCAGGTACTGCCTATTCTATACCTATGCATTTGTTTTTTCCAGCCCAAGTGTGGGACCTTATTTTCTCATCACTGAACTGCATCTTTTTGGATAGGACCCATTGCTCAAGTCTGTCAAGATCCTTCTGAATCTTCAGTCTGAAATGACATATTGACATGAATCAATCTAACCTTTGCTCTTTGCTTCTGTTAAAGAAGTTGCTTGTACTATTTTGCTAAGGATGGAAATCATTTGTTAGGAATTCATTCTGTAAGAGAATTGTATCCTTTTCTATCTGGTTTCTCGCCTCTGCAATTTGCTTCAGAGCTAGACACATCCGTGGAGACAATTCCCATGAACATCCTGCTCCATAGATAAGGGGGTGGCTACCCAGGAGCATGAACACACAAGGACAAGGGATACTGTGTAAAATAACAAAGTATGGACAGCACAGACAAAGAACGCTCCATGGATAAGGAAAGGGAGGGCATGGGTAAGACATTGCCCACATTAATAACGAACCTTTGTCTCTGATTGGATAAACTTTGTTTCTATCAGCGTAAAATGTATATAATACTCTGAGCCACTCTCGCAGGGTGTGGCTAGTTCTTACATGCATTTTGTCTGTAAGTTTTGGACATAGTATTCACCCAGACTTTTTGCTTTGGCCAAAGAATAAAAAAGCTGTTATTTTTGCAAGCCTTGTCTCGAGTCTCACTCCTTGACATGTCTGTGGCTTGGGGAAACTTCTGGGACCTTACAAGTCTATCTTCTGAAGTGTTAGCAATTTCCTGCAGCTTGATGTTGTTTGCAATTGTTGATGTTCTTTTTTTCTCCCCTCCTCTAGATGATTTAGGAATATTGAAGAGTATTGGGCCAAAACAGAACTCTGAGAGCCACTGCATGTTTCCCTCCACGTAGATATAGTTCCAACTGTATGCTGGGTATAGTTGGTCAGCCAACTATGAATCCATCTGGCAATGGCACTGTCCATTCCACCTTGTTTTACCTTATCAAGAAGCAGGTTGTGGTCTACTTTGTCAAGTGCTTTACTGAAGTGCTTTACTATATATTATGTCTGCAACATTTTCCTGACCCAGTAATCCGCTAAAAGAAAAAAAAAAGATTTGTCTGGCATAATTTGTTTTTAACAAACCCATGCTTCCTTCTTGTTCATTTTTACATGCTCACAAATCTGTCTCTTGATTATCTTTTCCAGGATTTTCCCAGGTATTGATCAAGCCGATTGGCCAATAATTTCCTGGATCCATTTTCTCCCCTTTTTGTAGATAGGAGCCACATCAGCTCTTTTCCAGTTTCTTGGTAGTTCCCCTGTGCTACAGGAGCTTTGAAAGATTAAATTCAATGAGTAAAAAAAAGGAAAACTTAAAAAAAAAGACGAAGTAAGCTATCAGCTAAAATTGATAGGCATCTCAACAGTTCTGCAAAAAGCCATAGGAATGGCTTTGAAATGAATATTCTTAAGTTGTTTCAGGAACAATAAAAGAGAAGTGCTCCTTTAAATTCTGGGAAAGGAGATGCTATTAGGAAGACACTCAGAGTGTTTTTCTCTGGCTCAATGGGAAATAAGAGGGAGGGAAATACAATACAAGCAGACTTACAAAGTTCTTTTTCCATAGCTTATCTCAATAAACCTGTGGTTTCTAATGTGGTCTATCAAATGACTTATTTATTTTATTAAATATACATGTGATCCATCTCACTAATGAAGCAACTCTGGGCAGCTTACAAAATAGATTAGCTGTGCCTGCCCTAAATTTTGGAGAGGTTTGGGTCTATTTTTCACATCTTTGTAATTTATTATTGTTAGTCCTCTTATTAAACCTATTATGTTCCATAACAAATCCTGTTGAAGAAATTATAAAATCATTGTATACTCCCAACAATCAAAACAGTTCTGGGAAGCAGCAACCATTGGGTGTGGAAGGACGGTTCATCTCTGTGTTGCCTTGGCCATACAAATGGCTTTACCATACTAGCTGATTTTCATACTGTGACCTTCTTTTCAGTTTTCTTTTCCCTTGGCAACTCTTAAGCTTTGTTCACATAATCGTTACAGTGAGTGATGAGATCAAACCAGGGCAACACAATATAGTTAACTTTTGCTAGATAATAATATGAAGAGCTGCAGGAAAGGAGTTTTTATTAGTCTTAATTCAGCAGGTATTGATTGGGGTGGAGAAGGAAAATGGTGGATCAATATATTAGAAAACAAATGGCAGATATAGAAAATGTAAATCAAAGCTCTGTTTTTTACAATCTAAGAAACTATGAGTGCCCTTTACAGTTTCACTACACCACACCAAAGAGAGTTTCAGAGAGTAGTAATTTGTTTCCGTTATTAGTATAATTTCATTTGGGAATGAAAGACTAGAAAAAAGAACCATTAGCTTTTTGTCACTTATGGGAAGGAAATTAGAAATGCTACAGATTTGACACTCAAAATATAATTACACCTTAATACCAGAAAGGAGGAAAAACTGATAATTCCATAACCTCAATAGAGAGTTTGACAGATTAAAATAAATTCATCTAGATGCAAACTTCATTGCAGTGTAATATGATTTTTGCTTTCCTCTGAGTTGTACCAAAATTTAGTAATTCTTCTTGACTTGCCAAACACATTTTATACATTGCTGGTGGCTTTGATTAAGAGGTACCTATCTATTTTGCTAATATTCAGCTTTATTTTATAGTTTTAATAAAAAGACAGGATGCCATATATCAGGAATAATTAGCCCAAACCACTTACGATTGTTGCAGCATCCCATAATCATGTGATCAAAATTCAGTTGCTTGGCAGCTGATTCATATTTATGACAGTTGCAGTTTCCCAGGGTCATGTGATCACCTTTCGTAACCTTCTGATAAGCAAAATCAATGGGGTAGCCAGATTCACTTAACAACCAGGTTGTTACTAAGTTATACTAAGTTATTAACTGCAGTGATTCATTTAACAACTGTGGCAAGAGAAGTTGTAAAATGGAGTAAAACTCACTTAACAAATGTCTCACTTAACAATAGAAATATTGGGGTCAGTTGTGGCCATAAGTTGAGAACTACCTGTAGTACTTTGGCGCAGTGTATAGTCTAGAAACCAGAAGACTATGAGACCTAGACCTCCTTTAGGCATGAAAGCTGGTTGGATGACTTTGAACCAGTCACTCTTTCTCAATCCGCCCCACCTCACAGGGGCAGGTGGGTCTCTGGAGGCCTTGAGCTTCCAAATCTACTGGTTCCACACTCTCCTCCTCATCCCTCCAATCATGACGCAGTCACTTATTTTTTGGGTAGGTCTTTGGGAAACAGCTGCTCTACTATGTGGCCTTCCTACCCAGTGGAGACCGTGTGGTGCTATCCCAGAAGGGGATACCATTTGGGAGCAGATGGAATGAATTGTGGCTGCTCCAAAATGGCACCCACTTCCAGGAAGGTGCCACATAGCCTCCACTTGTAGGGAGGCCAAGAGCAAGCTCTCCTTCCCAAACACTATCTCTTTTGATAGAATCTTCATGTAACAAAAACATTTCTATCTGATGATTCTCGGTTTGTGATCTGCTGCGGAATTGCATTTTCAGTTGTAATTTTAACCTAATCATGATCTAATCAGCTCTGAATTTATCTCCTTCAAAAACTCACATTTGCATTTTAGGTATTTAAAACTGATTTTATTTCAGGGTTGCTTTATTGTTTTAATAATAAATTTTGATTTTGTTTATCATCTTTGAGATTGGCCTGCCTCCCACAGGAAGAAAAAAAGGACTGAAATCTCTAGTCACATGTTTACATAATACATAGAAAGACGACTGAACTATTGAATTTATTTTGCTTTTTGTATTTTTTAATCACCAGAAAAAGGTTATGAAAGCTTCCTTCTGACACAAGAAAGTATAAGTGAACACCATTGATGTGACCCCTGGAGGAGATATAGTATCAACTGGAAGTCATAAGGTTCTGACCCAAAGCAGGAAGTGGGGCCATGGGGAGGGGACCAGAGGACTTCTAGAAGAAATTCTAAGTCATGTGGATTTCTATCTTGTAGGATCCATTACTCTGGAGTTCTGGCATTACAATGGAGTTCTGTAACTAAACATTCTATCCTTTCCGTTATTTTTATTTTTAGGGATGCGGCAGGGAAATGATGCTGGGACACAGTATCGGTCTGCTATCTATACAGTCACCCCAGATCAAATGGAGTCTGCCTTGAAATCTAAACATGATTACCAAAAGGTAAGGATAAAGTGCTTCCAGGTCACCTTACAATATTCAGATTGAGAAAAGCCATTACAACGTATCCTCTCAACTTATGTCTACAATTGGAACTGGAGTCTCAGTTGTTGAGTGAGGTAATTAAGAAAGACATCCACATGACACCACTTTGCTCAATGACTTCAATCCCAGCTCTTCCTGTTTCAGTTGTTAAGCAGATAGAGCGAAACAGTTGCCCGCTGAAAAAGGGAAGATAGCTCCTCTTCATGCATGGAGGTGAACTTATGTGCCGGTCTGGAGAAATGAGTCAGGGGTCGTGAAGATTATTATTTTGTTTCTCCACGACAGTGCACAGGTTCCTCTCTCTTCTGTGTACAGAAGGGAACTCATGCACAGAGCTAAAGAGATGAGATGATGGGGATTGTGCAGCTCCACAAAGGATTTCTGTACCTTTTCCTGCCATGCATGGGGGAGAGGGGATTCTTTGGCATGTCGGTAGCAGCTTGCAACCTTCCCTATCAGCTTCTCCATTGACTTTCTGGCAGAGAAGATTGGAAATGATGATCACATGACCACAGAGCACTTGACAGTCAGTTATAATATGCACATGCTGCCCAGCACCCAAATCACGAATGCATGGGTGGAAGTACTTGACAGAATGTAAAGCAGCCTTTCATGCCATCATAACTTTGAAAGGTTGTTAAACTACCAGTTGTATACCGTACTCTACCAGTTTTGTAACCACTAGCCCAGGGATGGGCAATTAATTTTCCAAAAGGGCCAGATGAGAAACTGGGACTCTTGTGTAGGATTGCTGCTGCTCCACCCGCCACTGCCAACACTGCCCCCAAAGCTGCTCTCCTCTGCCAATACTGCACTGATACTGCACAATACTGCACTGCAATGCTGACACTGCTCTACACCCCACCCACCAATGCTGCCTTGCAGTTGACACTGTTGATGGCCGCTGCCTGCTGTCAATGCCATGTGATTAGGACCGCCTGTGCCCACGGGCCATAAAATGCTCAGGTTTGCATTAGTCTGTACTTTGCTGAGAAGAGGGTTTTTTCCGACTCCTTGAAGACTAGATACCTATTTTATTTCCAATCTCATTGTTAAGGTCAGTGTATTTATATCAGATATTGTTTTGGCATTGCTGTACTTTTCATGCTATCATTCATAATGAGGAGAAACTCCATTCAGAACCATGAATATCTTCCAGTATTGTTTGCTGTCTTTGAATAGTTAATAGCTGGAGACTCTATAAAATATGTGATGACTGACATCACTACCTTTGAGTTTTCTTTCCGCGAAGGATAGCGAGCAAAGTAAAATATCAGCAGGAAGATTTGTTGGCTAATGATTTCACATCAGTTAGATATAAAGAAAAAAAGAATGGAAGACAGTGACAAAACATGTAACTCTCATAATTGCAAGCTTGAGTTGTTTATTCACTTGAGAACAATTTTACTTTATGAAATAGTATAAAGTATTTTATATCTACATAGTTAGAAATGTAGGATATTTCCAAATCAAGCTCCCATACAGTTGTATAAATCAAGTCAAGTGACACAATAAACTCTAAAATTCATATACTTGTTTTTGTATTTATCCTGAATATATTGAGTATATCTGAAATAGCAGAGATAGCAGCAAGTAGTGGCATGGGAAAAAATGGTGGTCTGCTACTATATTAATGTCTTTTTCCAAAGTCTTCTTCTCATTACTTTCCAGTGAATTATAAACTTTATTCTAAGGAATACCTGCATCATTATTATTCATTCCCCCTCCCAAGAGGACTAAGGATGTTTCTCATTAATTTATATTGTTTTCTTTCCTCTAGTTCTATGTGCAGTTTTTGGGAGATGGGTTTAAGATTGAAAAATATCTGGGTTTTTCCCCCTTGCCACAGAAAATCTTTTCCTATTGTATACTGAAATGATTTTTTTTTAAATGGGGGAAGGCTAGCTATCTGTATTTTTAGATTGTCAGAATATTCTGTAAAGCATATTAAGTTTACATTTTACAAACTAGCAAACTTCAGTCTCACTTTAGCACTCACATAACTGAGTTTTGATGCCAGCAACTCTTCTCCACTTCATCCTGGGCTTAGACCACAGCTGATCAAGCTATCATTGTCTGTCTGTTTTGGTCTGTCAACTTGGAGGGAGAAGTATTGTCTTGTGACTGACTGTTATAAGGTCATCTGTGATCTTGACAACATGCGGGTATTGATCCTTTAATCAGAAGAAGCTGCTCAAATTGTGAGACTTTTTTTGTTTATCTATACTTTCCTCTCTTTTCTTTCCTGCTGTTTTATTCTTGATGTGCTAGTTTTTCATACATAAATTTTATGGGTAGGTATTTGACCCATTTAAATGGAAAGAATTAAGAGGTTTTCAGAAAAAGAAAAGGTTGAAGTAGTTCCAGGCATCCTAATCAGATCCTTTCTGCATATCTCTTTTTCTCAATATAGCTTAATGTTTTACATCTTAGTTTCTCCAGTCACATGCAAGAAGCTTTTAAAAGGTCAGATCACTGACAATTATTCATATAATTTTTTACATTAACAATTGTGTCTATCGAATTTAAATAATATGGACTACAATTCAGAAACAAGTCTTATTGAGATTGAAAGAATTTTGCCCTGGGGATTGGCAAGATAGGATTTAAGCTTTAGATATTTAATTCAAGTCAAGTTATCTCTCTGTAATCCGGCTGTTTTAAAATCAATTATGTATGTTCAATCTGTAATATTCTGTGAGCAACTTCTATAGACAGTTATTTCATTTGGTTGTTGTTTAGTAGATTTAAAAGCACAATGGGGATCTGCTTTATGTGGGTATTCTCCCTCATTGATGTAATTTTTCCTACCCTACATCCAGAAATAGGAGTCTCTGCAGAGTTATGCTGTCAGTCTCTTGCCTTTAGAAAACTTTGGAAAATATGAAATTTGCCACATAATTGTTTTGGATAGTTCCTATAGAGGAAAGCAGGCACATAGGTACATGTTTCATCTATGAAGTATTTGTTTATTGTTTCACAGGTAGTGTTTAGGTTTTGTTCATGTATCATCTTAATCATATTCTTATGTCTAATTTACTCTGCGTTCTATTTATTTTCTATAGATCTATTAATTTATTTACAAAACTGTTCAGTATTTTTTCATCATTTGCAAAATAGAGTGAGTCCAGCTCACATACAGTCTCTGCATTTATTTCAAATACTATTCCTCTAAGAACAGTAGAATTTTTTCCCCATTCTCTCTAAACAGTATTTTCTTAGCCTCCCAGTTCATGGTCCCACTCCCCCCCTCCCCCTCCCCCTCCCCCTCCCTCCCCCTCTCCCTCCCTCCCTCCCTCCCTCCCTTTCATTTGTCCTCAGACTTATCCTTAATATAGCGCTCAGCTATATTTTTTTTTTACCACATGATAATTTAGTGTTCCTTCCGGCTATCATGCACTGTTGTCTTATGGACTTGTGTCTTCTCTTTTCTAAAACTAATTTGCTGTAAGCTCAAAAATGTCAGTCTTGTCTCCAACACGCTCCACACTCCAGCACCACAGTCACTTAACGACTAAGCAGTGTTGATCTTCAGCTATCTTTTGCTTCTGAATACTAGTTATCACTTGCAAGTAGACAGGGAACACAGAGACATTTCTATTTTTTTCTAGAACAGTTGTGGGTCTACTATACAAAAAAGAATTTGTATATTCCAAAAGCTTGGCACCAAACCGAAGAAAAATCCTCATATACAGTTATACTTCTCTATACATAGGAGGAAAACTTTGCATTTTCCAGCCTCTTCAATACAGGCTTTCTGATAGTTTCAGATTTGGACTAATTTTACAATGTTCCATCAAGATTGCTGCTATGTGTAAAAGATGCACAGCCGATCAATCCATAGGGGTCTATTGTTTAATAGCTAACTATTGCCAAGAGAAAAATACATTGCAAGTGGATGCCAAAAAGATACAAATTCCCAGTCCAAACACATGATTAGGATAAGTCAGGATTCAAGTGCTATAATTGACTGGGGTTTGAATTGATGGGCCATTTGCTGTAAATATGCAAAGTTATGGCATGAACTGAGAAGAAAAGGAGATGTGTATTTGCAAAGCCTCCATAACAAAGATAAAGGAAGAGGGAGTGTGGACAGGTGGAGCCCCTTTCAATGTAGAAAATAAGAGCTAAGACAGAGCCAATAGAAGACTTGCTAAAGTCTTCTAGGATGCCTATTAGTTAACTTTTAAGAATAGGGTTGAAGTAGAGCTGATAGAATACTTGTTAGATAACTTTTGAAGTATTTATTAGTTAAGACTTAGAAATAGGAATGTCATGGAGCCAATAGAGGACCCTTTAGATAACTTTCGAAAAGCCTATTAGACAGTTTCTTTATCCTGCCTTAAAAAACTATAAAATCTTGTTGAATCCTTTGTTCTGGGTCCTGGCATTTTGCTGGCTGGGACCCCTTTGGCTGAAGCGCTTCGATAAAAGGACATCAATCTTGCACTTCATGTCTGATAGTCTTCATCAGCTTTGGGGCCAGGCTAAGACCTGAATTTGGGGACAACAGAATGGTCAGGATATTTTGTGGAATGTGTCTTTGGTTTAACATCTCTGCTCTTTGTATTTGTATTACATTTTACAATGGCATTAGTATGCCATGAGTTAGGTGTTACATTCCCTATTCTTTGAGTTGGTATAATTTTTTTAAACTATTTCAGTTAATTAAATTAAAAAGAGGGCTGTGAAAATATTTACAGACCCCTCACATCCTGGACATAAACTGTTTCAATTCCTTCCCTCAAAACGACGCTATAGAGCACTGACACCAGAACAACTAGAAACAAGAACAGTTTTTCCCCGAAAGCCGTCACCCTGCTAAACAAATAATCTTCTCATCACTCCTTATCACCCATCCCCTCCCACTTGTGACTGTAGGACTGTAACTTTGTTGCTTGTATCCTTATGATTTATATTGACTGTTTCCTAGTATTTGATTGGCTATTCTATTCTAT